AATGTCGTATCCATTAGTACAGTAGTTGTCATAAAAATACCTGGTTCTCAGATTTTATTCAACGCCTAAAACTTGGTAACCACCTTGGTAATTATCCTGTAACCGATCCATGTGCACAGGCATTACGTTTTAAGTCATCTGGCAGAAATTAGATATTTAAATATTATGAAAGTAAAAATGTTTACGTGATAAACTACTATGACCAGTTACTGGTAATTCTTGAATGAGATTTTTACTTACATTCCTTTTACACATCATTTCAAATGATTAGAATTGCATGGTAAGTCTAGTGGAATTTTACTGTTGCTGAACATAGTAGAAGTTTTCGTGATAAATCCTGCTGGACTCTTAAAGCTTTCTGTGATGAGTTTGGTTAGGGGCCAAATATTGTTAATTATGAAAAGATCATTACTAGGTATTGGGAACAATTCAACAGTAGGTAAAAGTGCATCTTAATTTCATACTGGTTTCGCACTTATCAAAAAGGTATATATGTAATATTTACGAAAATGATGTCAACCGTGTAAACTTAAACCTACTTTACTTCGTACTAAATTCATTGAATTTATAGATTCTACATTTAGGTCACTGGTATCCCTCCTGTTCAATTTATTTTTAGATACCTGCCAATATCTGCACAAGATGTAGTAATACATTTCTCCTGAGATATTTTAAACCACTAATGCACACAATGTGTTTATTCTAAAGTGTATAGTAAATTTAGCTTTCAGTTTTAGTTAACTATATAAGCTATGTATGCTTGATAATAAGTTCGTTAAAAACAGTCTTTTCGCTGAATGTTGTTAATAAAACATTTAGTCACTTTGATAAATTTGAATAAGACATTTAGAAGACATATTTCACGAGGTGATATCATTTCCTAGTTTCTCTGTCCAGTATAAATATTCCCTAGTAAAGTGTTTGTTTTCAAGGCCCCGCAAAATATGCACGAGCGACACATTGATAGATGACCTACGACACATACATTCAGTTTTATTAGCTAATGGTTATCCAGAAAACGTTATCAAATGTCACAGTAAAGATAGACCACATCTTGAAAAGACAGCTTCTGTACCAAAGAAAGCTATCTTTATTAGCCTACCATTCTAGAATGATCTAATTATGCAGTTGACAGCTCGAAGACTTTGATCAGCTGTCTGGCGCATGTTCTATGCCACGTCTCTTTCCCGTACATCTCGAACATTCCCGATTACTCTACCTGCGGTTAAAGGATGAAATTGTATGAACTATACTTCAAACCGTATCTGTAAGTACAGCTGGAGTTGTGGTGACACTTATATAGGTGGTATAACGACAGAAGATGAGGGCCATGCATCAGATCGTTAATTGAGAAAATCAACAGTTATTTATAGATTTTTATGTACATTATTATAGGTCATTGTTAACAGTGAAACAGTGCCTTCTGATTGGTTGTTTCCTCGCTGAAAGTTATTCTGTAGTATTATCTTTGAAGATCAGACCATATATCCGCGAATCGTATCCGCCCAAGCAAAGTCTGCTGTGATTGGTTGTTGCGTTAGTCCATGTTCTTGTTTTTTCTCATGACCAAGATTTCGGACGTAAATTGCTGTTTACCAGTTTTGGCTAGCAGATGGCTCTCCCCGCAGTAGAACCAATAGAATGTTCCAGTGTCGCCGAAAAAAACATGTTCCAAAATGGTAATTAAAACATATAGAAAATCCCATTGCAATTAATCTGAATAGAAATCCATCTCATCATCCATTGCAAAACACTTGTTAATGCCAGGTCACAAAGTCAATATTAATGACTGCTTCACAAGTGCATCACACACCTCTAACTCAAGGCTATTAAGGGTGATGGAAGCACTCTAGATAATCATATACATCCTAAACTTTGTGTACACAAAACAATAACCTCAACCTTCACCCACCATGGAATACCTGATCTATTTAAATATGATCGTTCATTAGTATATACTTATGTTTTATATAACTGAGTAGTTGTCATGCATTTTATTATTTTGAACCAGGCTAGTTGTAAAGCGATTGTAAAGAAACTACGAATGATATCATCTCGTGAAATTTGTCTTCTAAATCCCTTATTCTAATAGTTATCTTGAATACATGAATACTGTTCATATTTAGTCGCTGAAACCGTTTTGTCCCTTTGCTTCTGTGCAATATGTATTCAGTGAAAAAAAATTTTTTTAATCTAAATTCATAACTATTCACCTCATATCTAATGCAATGTGTTTCTTTATCAGCTCATTTAATCCTATGACTAAGGGTTTTTCAGAATTTTAATGCTGTTAGAATAAAAGTGTTTGCACATAATAATAATCTTTAATTTTGTTAGTATTTCGAGCAACACAACTACCTATTTTTTTATGTGGTTGTGTTCTCTGAGCTGGATGGTTAATTTGCGAAGCTTTCATCACCCTACTGGGTGACATCTTCAGCGCATACTTCAATTTGAAGTGAGCTTTTAGATTTCTCCACGAGCTTATTAATCATCCCTCCTGGTGACCTTGGACGTGATTGGTTGTTTTTGTGTGCTTTCACACCTTCTAGGCTACTTGTATTGGAACTGATTGTTTCTTTGACTTTAACTTTGACTTTTTGTGTGTGAAGTTTCTTTCTTATCGGTTAATAAATTTTGTCTATCTCTATGTGTCTAGTGATTTATGATTCACTGGAGTGCCAAGCTTCTAAAAATTCCCTAAAATTCTTGTTGTTTCCTCTGCCTAATATTGAACGTTGTCCCAGTCGAACTGATGTCCGTTGTTGTCTGTGTGTAGTGATATGAGGGAGTGCATATCATGTCTTTTGATGGCTAGCTTATGTTCGCGGATAAAGTCGGCTGTCGCAAGTTTGCGTTCTATCATTTTTAGATAAATATGATGTATAGCATTTTTTTTCATTTTATGAGTTATGTGGTTTATTTGAAACAATTTCCTCTGATGTTGACAGTCACATTGATTAAGTTATTGTATTTTTAAAGGTTTTATATGTAAATGAAGATGTCCCCGTTAGTGTAGTCTTCTGTTAGTTTACATTGCAATCGTTTATTCAGTCGTCATTCCAAAAATATAGCATTTCTTTTTTCATTCCTCTTCCATTGAAGATGGTGGGTTTCTGAGTAAATTTATCCAGTCTTGTTTTCTTCTGGGCTTACTTTACGTTACTTATAGATATTTATTGAGCATGACTGTAAGAGATCTCAATATCTGACTGAAATAAGTGACTGAAGAGTGAAATCAGAATACTGCAGATTCTACGTTAATATCGTTCAATTCTTTTATTCGATTTAATTTATTTCCTATAAGTCCTATGAATTTTAATTTAGTGCAAATATTGGCTGTTCCAAAACACTTACAGGGGGGGGCTTCGTTTTTCCCTTCTTTCATGATAACACTACATGAAATAATTCCCTTTGTCTACTTGTGAAAGTGCTTTCTTCTCCTTTAAGATACGGTTTTTCGAATCTGTATGAACAATAATCCCTTTTATGCAAAGTTTTATTCTATTTTCTTAACTCTTCTGTTTTCACTATCATGTATCAAGTTTATTTTCTACATAGCTGTCAGGCATTTTAGAAATACCTCAAACTGCTTTTGGCTTCTGTAAATCATGATATCTGTAAGGTCTACGGGGTGGTTTTCTTTAGTGTTTTACTTAGATGAAACAAAACGGTATATATATATATATATATATATATATATATCAGAGTCTGAGATATTCTTACGTCATGAAATAAAAATCGGTCTGAACCAACTTAATCCCATTTACTAAGTGGTTTATCTCTAAGTATTGAAATGATGAAAATATAGCATTATTACTAACACAGTGACCCAGACTTGGATTTTGGAGACAAAAGAATATTCAGTAATCAACAAAACAAATAGAATTAATAAGGTAGGGTCACAAATACTGATTCCGAATTATTCAAAAACGATGATAGTTATAAGAATACGAAACTTGGTAAGATGAAAATTTTTGATGAATATGCAGTAAGTTGGTTGAGTGTTCACTTGATAAATTTAAGAGTGAATAAACACGTGAAGTACAAAACGAATATGCTACGCCTAATGGTAGTAAGATTAATTACTTACAATAAACCCCAACAAGTGAGGAGGATTTTACTGCTACCGGAAAACGAGACATTCAGCAGCATTTTTTCTCCACAAAAAATTCTGGCCTGAAACGAAACAGGACTAACGCCTACCTTGTGGATAATTTTGAAGAAGATGCAATTTTTGAGCTTACCATATGTTCAAGAGCTGAGCTAGTGATCATTGCCCTTACATTGCCCTCTTAATACTTATGCTGTAAAGCATTTTGAGTTGCATATATAAAATGCTCGGTTATATTTATAACTAGTTTCCTTACAAACACAGTCAGGTAGTTTAAAACAGCAACTTATTGTCTACTCACACACGAACTACTTGCAAGCTGATAAAGACAAACCTGAGCTCATTCTATAAGACATTGGACAATTGGTTCTTTAATGTCTATGTCACTATCATTTTCAAACTCAACGCTTTGGACTTTAACTTGACTTTCATGTTTTTCCAAATGAACCTTCAAAGTTGACAGTTTTTTCTAGACACACGTTGTAGTCTTTCCATTTCTTCATAATTTCAAAATTCATGCTCTTTTTATCGGTATCACTCTATGGTCGTAAGTAATGACTTTTCGTAATTCATTGTATTACTCTGGTTGTCTTACTGATTATTATGTAATTTTTCGGCCCTGGAAACTACATACAACCATTAGGTTAATTATATGACTTCCAGCTATTATTCAACCATGAGAAAGAATGCAGAGTAAACAGTCAATCGTGTTACTTTACCACCTCTGAATAATGACATATCGTATACTAGTCAAAGATGAATGCGCACTTAAAAAATATTAGTAAAATCATTTACACTAATTATAAAAAAATTCGTTTTTTTTCTAACACAATAAAACTTAACTGGGTTATATAATTCCATTCTTGCTCTATTTTGTTATGATTAGATTTCACGTGAAAATTCCTCAACAAGTGAACGTGCTCGACTGGATCGTGAAATTTCTATTCTACGGCATGTTAGACATCCTGGAATCATTCAAATATTAGCTGTAGCTGAATCTCCAAAAATTATTTTCTTAATCACTGAATTATGTGAAGGGAATTCATTAGATTATTGCATTAAACAATTACCAGAAAGATCTGGATTACATGAGTATATTGTAGCAGCTATTGTAAGACAAGTAGCTTCAGCATTATCCTATCTTCATAATCGAGGTATTGTACATAGAGACTTAAAACCTGGTAATATTATGTTATTAAACAAAGTTGAACTGGACTATAGAAATGTACCTCCGGTGAATTATAAATATTCTCCTAAACACCATATTAATAATAAAATTATTTCAGATTCTTATATTAAAAATGATAAAACAAAATTTGAACATATGGAGATTGATAATGATACATTTTCAAATCCTGGAAAATTAGTCATGCCTACAATCACAACAACTAGTAGTTCTGTTCGAAATAAAACAATAAAATCTACAAAAAGAGTATCCATTCACTCAGTCCAAGATTCCTCATCTCTAGACAAAGATGAAAAAACAAGTGTTAGTTGTAAATCTTTCCCAATGAATAGAACATTTAAAACAAATGGTAAAATTGTTGAATGTGAAATGAAATATCCTCCAAGAAAATTACAAACAAAGTTAATCGATTTTGGTTTAGCTGTCGAAGTACGTAAAAATGAAGAAGCCTTAGCTAACCCATGTGGTACACCACTTTATATGGCACCAGAAGTTTTAAATGGTCGATCATATACACGTCAATGTGATTTATGGAGTTTAGGTATATTGATGTTTATTTTATTAACAGATCAATCACCGTTTAATGCTCATAATGAAGAACAATTAATAAAGGAATTAAATCATCTTGATATACATGAGAAAATACAATCATTGGATTATTTAACACCATTATGTCAAGAATGTTTAATACGTCTACTGACTATTGATCCAGCCTATCGATCTTCTGCCAATGAATTGTTACTTGATCCATGGCTTTCATATTATCCAGTGTATAGTAATTTCGACGAAATTATTGATACTGCAGATAACAGTACACGAACATCAAATGACACATCACGACAACAACATCAAGATGTACATAGTAGACTTAGTTTGACAACATTACATTCATTAGTTGATTTTTCTAAAGGATCAGTTTCAGTAAGTATGTCTAGACCTTCATCATTTACGCGTTTTCAACCAGTGGGTACTTATTCTACAACTAATGTGCTTGAATTAATGAAACAGTATCATAAAGAATTAAATGATTGTAAACAAGAAAATGAACATTCGTCTGAAAGTGAAAAGATGACTTAATTTTTCAGTAATAATACATTACATAATCTAAATGTTGTTAATTAAATTATGTGAGAAGGGAAGAAACAAAAAGAAGAAAATGGGCAATATGTTAATTTTACTACTCCTTTATTTCTATACAGAAGGTACAGTTTTTAAAGATAAGCTTCAATGAAAATACTTTTGAGTTTTTGTATGTATACATGTGTGTGTGTATTTTCCAGTGCTACATTTGTTTCTCTTTGAATAAACCTACTGTTAAATTTGAATGATGCTATTATTGAACAATACCTTTGATGGACTTTAATGTTTTTAGAAACACTTGTTTCATTTATCATTTTATGAGAGTGTATTATCTTTGTGTATTCGTGTCTGTTAGAAAGCGCCGCAAAGTTTAATTCATCTACCTGTCAGTTTCTTTGTTATAATTTATGTTCCCTGATAATCTAGAAATATTCACTCCTCAATTAATTGTCGTTATTAATACCTTTATTAATTATTATATTAGTGAATAATATAAGTCTTATTTTCTATTACATATATATATGTAGGAGAAATTTATATTGTTTACTATTTGCATAAATCAGATACTAAGTATTAATTTTGAACAACTCTTAGCTAGGTAGTATTATTTACACAACAAATATAGTTTATAATCTGGTAAACAAACTTGCGCTCATTTATTCAGTTATAATAAAGCAGGATTTTACTCCATTTGATTTCGCCTACTACAAGTGTCACACCAAGGTTAATGAAGCAGTCAGGATGAGACGAATGAAGTGATCTAGTAAAAAATATTCGAAGTAATGGACTCAAAAATCTAGGAATAGTATATATATGAACAGATAATACTGACGTTTGACGTCAGAATCAATCAACCAACTCAGCCCAGTAAGCATGCGAAACATGGTCTTTAAAAGATGGGACAAAGCGACCTTTAAATAGGTCAGAAGTCAGTAGTTTCATTGCTACTGATAATGTGAAATGGCATTTCAATTGAATGTGTGGAATAAACTCTAATGTTACATAGTAAAAAACAAAAGTGCCGACATTCTTTCCTTTGCGCTTAAAGAAAACAAAATCAGAATTAATGAGAAGTTTTTATGGTATTCTTTACTTTAAAAAGCCGATATTAAATAACTAGTTAGCTATTAAGGATGTCTGTGCTGGTTTCGCGGTATACTGATTTTTGAATCCAATTGTGAGTAGAACATCTAGGAATGCAAATGGCATGTTTCACTCAGGTCTTAGGATGAATTTTATTAAGGATGTGCTGCGTTGAAAGTGTTGAGGAGATTGTCTAGATCGATTTTTTAATCACAGTTGATAAAAGTATCATCTACATATCTTTTGCAGAGGACCAATTTATTGGTCTAAGTATAGAGAATGTTGATTTCAAGACTCTCCATAAAATAGTCAGCTAAGAGAGGACCAAGAGTAAACCCCATAGCCATAGATTATTTCTCCACGTAGGGTTGCCCGTTGAATCTGAACTGAATGCTAAACACACATCTGAGGAGAAGTTCCTTCAAGTGGTTGTTTGAAAAAAAAGATAAACTCTAGGTTGTTGGATTTGACGTAGTCACATATGAAGCATATTGTCTAAGTTAAGGCGATGATTGTGATTAGGGAGGTGAGATCTAGAGAGAGAATTTGTCTTTCAAACACACTAACATCTTCCACCGATTTGATGAGACCAAGTGTGTCTTTAAGACTATGTCTTTTCACGTCTTCATAACGCTTCGCGAATATCTGCTAGTCATTTCGCGATCTGATGATATGGTGGGTTGACCATGTCTATAATAGTTCTAAGTGGTACATCCTTTTTAGACACTTTATGTAGTTCATATAGTCTTTGAATAATTGAGCTGCATGGTCTTATTCATTCATACACCTCTAAGGTATGACTGGCTATTCCTTCATTTGCTTCAGCGATTTTGTAAGATTTCCTGCTATTTCTGTTGTCTTTCGGGGTGAGGATTTGAAGAAATTGATATTGTCTGAATGTAGGTTTGTTAACTTTCCAACATAATCTTTAACTGTTCATTATTAATATTCTATCGCCCTTGTTTAGACGAACAAGGTGTATGTCCTTATTCACCTGAAGTTGTTTTCTTAGTTAGTGGATCGTGCATACATATATTTGTAGAGTTATCAAGGATTGAAGCCTTGAACTGCTCGAAATATTTCTCGGGACTAGGTGACAAATCAAGCGTCTAGGAGATTGAATTCTTGAACTGAACTTTCCTCTGCTATTCAGTGATTTTCCTGGACATGCTGCAGAATTGCGGACCAGGCGATAGTGTAACAACAGAAAACAAGGGCCAGGCAACAGATCGTTTATTAAGGAAATCAACACATATTTATAGATTTTCATGTACATATTATAGGTTACTGTTAGTAGAAAAACAGTCTTCTGATTGGCTGTTTCTCACAGAAAGTTAACCTTGCATCCCTTTGTGGCTGTTTCTTGAATGCCAGATCGTCTATATGTTAACTGTATCCGCCTACGCAAATCCTTTGTTCTCATTTTTCTCACGACCAATATTGGGGACATAAACACTGACGTAAATTACTGTCCACCAATTTTGACTAACAGCCAGCTCTCACCATAATAGGACATGAAGTTAAGTGGGAGTGAGAGGAAAGTTTGAGTAATTGCAGATATATGTTTCACGCTCTTCTCGAAATGTTGAAAGAGTTTCAGGTTTTTTATTTGTCATGAGCTAGTGTCTTCGTAGCATTTTTGTATAACATTGGATATACAATCCTGAAATTAGTTCGTTCCTCTTCAGACAGTTCATTGAATGCATGGGCTGTTTGTGTTATATTACTTCCCAGTCCAGGCAGTGGTGTCAGCGTGATATAATGTGTAACCTATTAATGTCTTCTAATTCGGAGAGATTTGATTTTGGCAGACATCTAAGCAGCCATCTTCAGAATCACATTCTCCATCAAACAGCTGATCCAGTTAGGTGTTAAAGATCAGATCACTTTTGGCCACCCGAATGTGTATTTAATATATTGGCCGCACGCAGCATCATTTTTGAAAACTTATTCTGGAACACTGCTCAGCTTAGCTAGCCAGAGGAGGAAAGAAGAACGTCAATAGTTCTATCCGGAAACACCCTATAAATCTGAAACATTTTTCCCTCTTTATGAATTTGAATAAAGCAAGAACAACAGTTCGTGCAGAATAAGATGGTGCCACCATTTATTCCGTTTGCTTCTCACCAGCTGCTCGCAGCCTCAATTTTCTGTATATAAACCTTTTAAATTCTAGATATCAGGTTTCCCTACATGGTTGCTTCACAGTGCTACACATTTTCTCAATATCATGTGAGAGGACTTCGAATATGTCATCCATACACAGCCGAATCATTGGCTACTCAGCACTTGAAACAGTACCTCTGCGTCCCAAGGAACTGTATACACTCACTCTCCCTACCATGGTCATGGTAACGTTCTTAATATAATTTTGCTTCACCACATTGTTTTAGTTTATTTTTTGACAACTATTATTGATAATAATTTTGTATACAGCTATTATTGATTTCTTTCCTTCACGTTCCCAGTGGAACATCGGGCTACAAGCTAGTGACTTGAAGTTTCTGTAGCAGTGTTTATTTTACAGGACTGTGTCGCTAGCCTCATGCTCAACCTTTCCTCTTTACCAGCATTATTTCTAGCTTAGCGAGGTAAAGGAGTGCGTTGGCCGGAGACCGAACCCTGGACCATGTGCATGGTCGGTGAGCGTCGCTTCTCGGCTCTCTGAGCTAAGATCATGTGCAGTATATAGATTTATACAAATACTTTACCATCTTTCTGTTAACTTTTTTACACTTAGTATATTTAGATTGATTATTCATCTTTCCGCACACTTACCGCACACACTACCCTTTTTCTACTCTCCACTTAGTCATCCGACTCCAGATTACACCTCACATTACATAATATATTTTCTAGAACATAGTTAATAGTATCTGATTGGTTCTATAAATTCTTTGCTGAAAATGAAACGATTGTACAGCTCTTGAAAATGTTTCGTTGAAAAGTGAGTTTTACTCACCATTATATCTACTTTTGTTTGTGACTTATGAGGGGAATTTTCCGAATTTGGGATAAACTGAAAAGTATCTCACTAGCCAATGAGCTGATATCAGTTAGAGAACCACTGGAAAACCTTGGAGTACTAGACATATGTTTCGTCCTAGTTTGTGACTCTTCATCAGAACGCATCCAACGGGGTTCGAACTCAGGATCTCTGGTTACAGATGAGCTCGTAGACCACTAGGCCGGTGGGCACGTTCTGATGAAGAGTCCCAAACTAGGATGAAACAGATGTCCCGTACTCCCAGGTTTTCTAATGGTTCTGTAACTGATATCAGCTCATGGTGAAGTCCTCCAACCAATCAAACAAAATCCCTACAAAACCAATACTTAAAAAAAGAAATCATAACTTCATCTTCAATCATTTATAACACCAGTGTAATGGTCAGATATTTTTCGCTATTATTAAGTCTTCATAATTTTCTACAATAGTAGTATAGTTTATGTTCAGAAAAGTCACTGCACCGTATAATTTTTCATCGAAGTGACATTAAACACTCTGGAATTCTAAATACATGCATTAGGATTAAGAATGACTAAATTTGTTATATTTTGTCTGCAAACGCTGATGTCTAATATTTTACAAAGTGAAAACTCAGGATTGTTGTAATTTACATTGGAGTGATATTCCTTCAGTAAATTTCCTTGGTTACTTTGAACTGTTAGTATTACTATTGTACGTGTGCTTGTCTTAAGGTTGTTAAACATATACGTATAAACATATCAATGTACCACCTTTTTTTCCTGGTTAATAAGTGAGTAGTACTACCGGTTATTTGCACGCATAAAGCATTAATTATGGTGTAGTGTCGTCGTGTGTTTCAAGAACAAACTGTGTAGCTGAATCATCTGTTTTATTTGAGATATATTTGAGAAATAATTATTCAATTTTCACATTGCTGGTGAAATAC